AAAAATACGATGTATGCATAGTGTTAGAGTTGCTTTGACAAAAAATTTTTCCTTACAGTGATAGGTTTTCGGAGTTGGCTTGTTCGCGGACATCCACATGATATTTTATGATTTTCTGTAATAAGGCCAAATCCATTTTGACGTGGGATGTACCCTTCTTTGATATATATTTTTAGAAAAGCCGCTCCTTGGAGGGTTATTTACCTCCCACCCCAGCTCAGCTTGCGATTCAAACCGAAATTAATAATATTTTTATTATTTAGTGTATATTGCCCAAGGAATAAAATGTGATCATTGTTTAGAGGAAATAAATAAATAATTTCGGTTACTCATATGGTTACAAGTTTTACAGAATGACTCGTAGAAACTAGATTTTTGAAGAAAAATGCGAAATGGCCTTTGAATATAAACAAGAACTGAAACAAAATAGTGACAAAGACGTCACTAGTCAAAATTAATACAAAATTATACTTAATTGAGTGACTAGATTTAGAATTATCGATTATCTGGTCGTTTAGGTATCGACCTAGTGTTAAGACGGCCACCGAAGTTGCTCATAGCCAATTATTTAAATTACTGAGACTGTCTCTAATTCAATTAATTATTTATTTATTTGCATCTTTATTTCTACCGTTTCTGCCATGATACTTGGTAGCTTTTATAAATGTATTTTGCATTTGCATTGCCATTCTTTCATATTACATTCTCTTTTAAAACACATTTTCTCCCACACACACACACACACTCTGTAAAGGACTTCACATCGAGCCAGAGCCTTGATTGTGGACATATAAGGAGGTAGTGGTGTTTGCGGCTCTCAGCCTCTGTTCCGTTATAATGAGGGCAGAAATACCAGGTATACACACGAGAAGGGGTCCACCTTTATACCCTCAATCGAGATAATATCGGCTGCTACTTCGACAGCTATGAACTACCACCAACTATTTTAAAACACTTTAGGAAACTTGGAAAGAATTGCTGATACTTCCGCTACTCCATCGAACTTCTACAACAGACAGTTTCTTACATGTGCAGCTCATATTGTATCATGTTTTTGCATGCTATGTCTATTAATTATCCACTGAGTGACTTTCAATGTTGTTTTTTATAGTAGAAAACATTCCGAAAACAATGAAACTGTAGCAGACTATCATAAAACCCTTACGAAACCTCCTTCTCCGTGTGATCCATTGAAGTTTAGTGATGTTAGCGCCGCTTTTAAAATTTTACTGAACTAATTAGCGGAACATGTTTTTGGAACCATTCCAGTCAGTTAAACCTATATGAGATCAGACTCCGTAGTCTATTCTTTATGAGCAACAGCCCCCCGTGTGTAGGCTCCGGCTAGGCAAGACCGAACGCTTGGAATGCTAGCGTGAATCGGACTCATTCCTACCACGCACCAGCCCCTCTACTTTTACTCTTGAGTATGGTAATACAGCCGCTACTTACAGTATACCCTTTGAGAGCCATAACGCCATGGCCTGCTCTTCAGCCGAACCACGCCAAGTGCGACGCTGCACGCATGCGCCAATAGTAAATATTAAAAAATTTGGTGTTCCGCAATGGATGACATAAGATTATTTAATAACAATTAAAATTGTTCTGACTTGGTCTGAGGTACGCTACCGACGGCCTAACATTTTTCTCCCCACCGACTAATTAGATGACTCACGGTCTCTCCTGCCAACTCATTTTCGCCAATTAGACAACTCTAATTAATTCCTAGGCGTATACATCCCTTCTCTAAGGGCCTAAAAGCTTTGAGAACGCAGAGTTTTCGGGAAAAACGGTATGTATTAGTCAGTATTCGCCGGTTACTACGAGTATTCGTACGTAGCTCGTACTCGGACGACTCTTGGGCATCATCGGACGATGCCAACCCACAGACAACTCGTTGTAACAGTCAACTCGGTACGTGTGTACTAGCAGAGAGCTCACGCAGTCGGACTCTCTAGTGAAAACCCAGACAACTCCTCAGACATGGACTAACTCACCAGTTCATCATCTATAGTGATGATTATGAACTTATCAGGTAGTCTACCTCTTAGAAGACATCCTCAGGAAGCTCATGTTGGTCCGCATCAGCACCTTCTTACAAACGGCGCAAATGATGTCGGCTTAGACGCCTCACGGCCTCATGGACAGTCACACACATAAGATCCATCAGAACAACTCGCTTGTGTCTGTGTGACTGACGCCAACACATTGAAAATCAGACGACTCCTGGTGCAGAGACCAGTACAGGAAAACTTAAAACTTTCCTGTGATAATCTACTCATCAGTCAACTCATCAGTGACCTCTCTATGTGAAATTTCAGTGAACTCAATACTGTACAGACAATTCGAAGACTTTGTTTTTCAGTGAACTCATCTTATATAATTATCAGGCAGACTCTCGTCTCGTTATTTTTCTGTTACTTTCACTTTTGTGGTCAATAAATCGTCAATTGTTACTGTTAAATAGTATCAGCCAACTCATTTACACCGTTCAAAAGTCCCGACTGTTCTAGCATCCAAACATCCTAAAAAATACAGTCCACAAAGTCCCGACTTCTCACTTAGCCGACTCAAAGTCAGAACAAAATTGTATATATTTTAATTATTAAATAATAATTGACTTATTACACTATTATTAAGCTAACTGTTATGTTATAAATTATTTACCCTCCTCCCATGTCTTTGTGATGGGAATGGGAGTAGAGTCCACTAAAGTGGCAGCATTCTACTCATGTATAATCAGAAATAAAAATTGTTACTTTTCTCAAAAACTCAGTTCTACTTTTGTTAAGAATCTTTTGCTCAGTCGATTGTACAACAGAATGCGTGAAAAATATATCTTCACAGCAGCAACTCATTACTGGTGGGGTTTCTTTTCTCAAATAAATAAACTTTAATTCCAATCTGGCGAATGAATCACTATGTTTATTTTTCGATAGACTATTGTATATGTTATCGCAAAAAACGAGAACATCGTAACTACTCATGTTTTTTTTATTATTAGTATCAATACACTTTTTGTGATTTTGATAGTTAGCATCACTCAATCGATATTATCTCATTTTTTTCTTTTTTTTGGAATTTTTACTCCGTTTCTATGAATGGCTATACCGAAGCAATTGCATTGCTCTATGATTTGTATTATTTTCAGGTGTTTTATATGTAATTTTCCTCCGTGACATTTTCTTTTACAAGAAAATGATATCTGACGTCATTCTTGCTCTTTTGGAGCGTTGAGAAACTGTGGATCGCATTTAGTTTCGTTTTCATCTTCCGAATGTCATCTTTAATAAGTCGCAGTTTACGACGTAAAATCCAAACTTTCGAATCAATTCATTTTTGTTCAGTAATTTTAAATTGTTCATTTCGTCTCAGCATTTGTATGTGGTGAAGATTTCGGGAATTTTCATTCAAACGGAAAGTATGATTTACGAACTTTGGCAGCCATTTTTGCGTTTGGTCGATAACAAATCGATCGGATAATAAAAAATTCTAATTCTGATCACTTAATTGACTACAATTCAGTGTCCATTTTAACTAATGAAGTTCCAGTCGCCATTCTCCTGTTCCTGTTCTCATTCATGTTGTCACGTCATTTTAATTTGTATTCGTTTTCAAGCATCTACAACGTCAATGTTATCTTAGTTTATCTTAAGGAGAAAAAAAAGAGTGCACAGTCCAATCTGTTCGTTCGACAACTCACAACAATAAGATGTAGCCAACGGTACCAGCTAATGAAAAACTCCCTACTCCTCTTTTAATTGTGTTGAAAGATCCACCTGGAAAACTGGGTTCACGGGTAAAAGCATCGCTTTCCAGACCGGATAATGTACACGTAGAAATATCGAAATCTGGAAATCTTACTTCAGGTAAAAAATTTCATTCAAATATCATATTATCTTATGAGTCGTCAGAACATAAAAAAAAAAATTATTTAGTTTAATGTCTGATTATGATTTGCCTGTGAACTGTTTTGTCGGATTGAAATTAGATGATGGACTAGATCTAGGGCTATTCGAAGAATTCTGGTTGTCACAAAATTTCTTTTACTTGTTAGTTTATTAACAACAAAACTTACTTACTAATGACACTATAAAATACTGTCATGTTTTAATTACTGTCATCGATGTGTACTAACTGCGAGAGTACTGTCTGTAGAGTTATCTGAGAGAATACAGGAGGTAAACAGCGTGGTTTGGGCCGTGATGAGTGACAGTGACCATTGTTACTATCGCAGGTGTCCGATTGGTCATTTTGAGTGGTCAGAAACGTGAATATCTACATAAATTAACCGGGGATTTAAGCAATTTGAATTTTGCCTAGTTCAATTCATAACATATTATTCAATATATTCTGAAAGTTTACGTACTAATTTTTTTTTCAAACACTCAGAAATATGATGTAAAGATGGATTTTTTCCGAATGTAAGAAAAAAAGTTTACTTTTGATTGATTTGTGGACTAAACATTGTTGTTTTAAAGCTGTCACGTCTGCCAAACCACCAGATAAAGAAGATGAGATATTATTATTACTAGCAGGAATACTAGACAAACCCAACCATGAGATGTTATTGGTTTTAGATATAAAAAACTTCATGATACGTTCTTTAGACAGTATCCTATCACGAGGAGATGATTTTAATTTACACTCGAGATATAATATTTTTGAATTACAATTACTAACTCATAATCAACTCATGTCTTTATAATACTATAATCTTTTCCGTTATTCATCATTTAGAAGTACTGAAGTGAAGAATTTGAAGAATTAAATTCTGTTCAGAAATTTCAGTATTACAGATGTTAGTGCCAATGTTTTAGATTCCGCGAACGAAATGTAAAAAGTTTAGTGGTGGAATAGGAGAACTACCTACTATTCTATAAATTCAGGAATGCTAAAATATTTAACAGTTATAAATATAAAGAAATTCTTTATGTTAACGCTCTCATTGTGTTCGCCTATTTTTTTTTATTTACTTGTTATTATTAGTAGAGAACTGCTTTTCACATTCTACGTAATCTTAAGTTAAGAGACATGGTAGGAATTTTAGATCAAGTACTGTCTAATACTATCCAGCCTGTGACTGGGTCATGTGTTTTTAATGAGTTTGGGCGATGTTCAACAACTCGTGAATTCGGAATAATTTGTAGAAATCATGCGGATCAAATTCTTGGAATCGTATTAATAGAAGATATTGTTTCAACAGGCTTGAATGACCATAAAACTTACAAAATCAGCGCAACGGAGAAACGAGATATATTTCTACCGTTTCCGTTCAAGTTCAATTTTAATAACGAGAATATCAATCCTGAGGTTTCTCCATGCTTAGATAAAATTATATTACAAGAAAAAACGTTAGAATATGTGTCACAGATGAATTTACCATCACCCGAAGCCCGACAACGCGTAGTCTCTGCACTTATGTGTGTTGTTTCAGATGGATCATTCTTTCTTGCATCGATGCCTAGAGCGTCATTTAATTTTCAAACATTTTGCACTCCTGGTGTAAAAGCTTACCTAGAAAAACGATGGGAAAAAACGCATATTTACGTCAAACATACCGTCAACAATGAATCTGTATTAGATAAATATCCAATGAAAAAAATGCCTTTATTTTATCAAATTATATTGTGTTACGTCACAATGAGTGTAAATGTGATGGAAAATAATATTACAAATCGTAATGAGTACGAAATACTACAGCCAAGAATTATACTGAATGCTGATAAATATCGATTCGAATACATTAACACAAACGAACAAAGACCATTACTTTTACGACACCGTAATACATCGTTTTCATCACCTCTTATATTAGCTGGATATCACGTACACCCATACAAAATTGAATTATTTAAACAAAATGCTTTGATTCTTAACTATTCAGTTGACAATATTTCTGGGTTCTGTGACGATATTAGTAGATCTATTTAATGAGAGATTTAAAATTCCTATATCAGTACACTATATCATAACGTGTAACGTCGGACTCCAAACTAAGTAGCATATAACTCTTTAGAGCAATTTTGTAACTTTCAATCAATACGAACAATGGGATTGATTTTTTTTTACAGCAGTAGAATGGAGCAACTTTGGCAAAACCCACTCCAGTCCTCACTACAAAGTAGGAATAAATTCGCGTCCGCTGGAGCCTACTTACGGTTTGTAAAACAGCTTGGGGGTAACAATTGCATGGTAGGGGTTTATTTATTGCTTTTTAATGATTATTTTCATCGTGTTTATACAATTATTATAATTGTATCATCATTGCTACTGTTTTAATTATGGTTTTTTACATTCTGTATTTAATTTTCGCGCATGCGCTTTACGCCTGCTACGAGCAGGCTCAAAGAGCCTAAGGCTACGCCAAAAGACCATCGACGCGCCATCTAGCATTTCCGAAGATAACGAGTCTTGCGAAGAATAAGCTGTGAGGTCCGTATGCCATGATGCTCGAGAGCGAATGGATGGGGGCCGCGTGGTGGGGCTGACGGGTCTAAGAGCTGTGCGGCTGCAATTCCTTACGCTCAGACAGGCCTCACCAACGAGAGGGCTGTTACATAATAATCAATTTTTCCGAATAGACATAGCTGCTCAGGCAATTCTGAGCTGCAAACAAACGTGTTTGCATATTTATGCGTACTACGCGCACCCGTGTATCACCAAGTACCCTTTTAGATGCGAAAGTGAAAGAGATGAACCGTATGAGCGAGACAGACATATATATATACGTGCTCATGTCAAATAATAAAAATAGCCTTTATATTTTTTTATCACGTTTCTTTTTACTAACGCGATGTTGTATACATATCTAAATTTTTACAGAAAATATTCTCAAAATATTAAATTACTAAATAGCGCTTCGCTACAAAAATTATAAGATACAGTTCAATAGTAATCTTGATCGCATTTAATTACTTGCTCGATAGCCGAAAGAAGAAGTTGAAAAATTATAGATAAGGCATTGTTTTTTATTTTGTATTGTCGTTCTTTTAGTTTTACGACGTGTAACGACTTGGTTAAAAGGTGTTCGCCTGATAGCATCAAATTAAATGAATATCGGGTCAGTTCGTTCACCGGTAATGTAAGAATGTATTGTGTTATAATTAATGTAATTACTATTAGAACAATTTATGTAACGCCTTCAACTTTACATACCTCCACAACCGTCAGGCTTCTGTTCGAGACAAGAATAAAATTTTGGACCACCCGAAATAAAAGATTTCATATGACTTTCCGTACTATACCCCCGCGAAAATAGGATATATGTAGGATACATACAAGATATATCCCGTATGTATCTGGAATATATTCGATATAAATCCGAGATATATCTCAGATGTCTATCGGATATTCCATTCATGGCCAGCTCTAACGTCGATTTCGAATGTATCCAAGATGTATCGCAGATATATCCGGGATAAATCTAAGATACACCTGAGATGTATCTTCATATTTTTTGAAGTTTTTTTTCCTCACAACCGCAAACAGAATTGAGATTGTATTATTACTAATCTAGAGTAGCGGTTGATACATGGCGCCACGTCACCTGCACATTCCGCCCCTTATTCATCTATTGTCTTTCGTCAAACTAGCGACCCCTCGCGGCTCATATTGACAGTGCCGAGTAACACGCTACTCTAATATCTCGATAACTATTCAACATTATGGAATAATTTTCGATACACAAATGATAATGACTGTTAGCTTTCATTTAAATCTAAAATGAGATTTATTCATTGAGGATTCATCGAGATACAGATTAGGCCACAACCTTAATTCCGTTTTTCAATTCAATTTCTAACCTCTTCTTTATCAGTCTTACCTAAATGCCATCTAATGCGGACCTCTCTCCCATGGCCACAATTTTTCTACGATATATATAGGTATATTTACTGCTGCTGATATTACAGTTGCTAATTCTTCTTTGTTGAAAGGAAAGGGAATTATTTTAAATAATTCTTCTGTTTCTCATTCCATTTTTTACAGTTCCAGGTGATGAATTTGATTTTATCGAGACTGTAGAAATAAAGATTTCCAATATTAGGGTTGATTCAGAGGTTGTTATTGCCGAAATTTGAAAAGAATGTATTCAAAAATTAGATTTTTAATCGAGTCTGGTTTATTTACTGAATTCGAAGATCTTCTTGATAAAAAATCTTCAGAAGGTAATAAAGTTGTTTCAATTCGTTCTTCTTTGAATTAATTTCCAGAATTTGTTTTAGATTTATTTGTGAGATTTTTAAAATTTTTGGATGACAATGATAAATTTTATTTCAAAGGACTTTTATTGAAGAAAATAGATATTTGTGCGATAAATTATTTTGATTCAGGAAAGTGCAAAATTTTACAACATAGAATAAATTATGTATTTAAAGTTTCAAACGTTCAATGAACGAAAATTGTAACAGCCTAAATAGGCCAAAAAAAGTAGGCAATAGAAAAATTACATAACGTATGAAACAAAGAAACAAAAAAAACGATCCCTACCCATCGGAAACAACCTCTTCTTATTTTTTATCTGAATTAAAGAGCCACAAACGTGATAATTATTAATTCGAACTTGAATCAATTTGTTTACTTTCTTCGCCATGATAAAGATATTTTTGATAAATTTTGCTGACTTCTTTAGAGTCAGAACTAATATGAAAAACAATCCCCACCCATCGGAAACAACCCCTTCTTATTTTTTATCCGGGTTAAAGAGCTACAAATACAAATTCTTATTTTGTTGCAATTAAATCGATTCGTTGACTATTCATTTCATGATAAAAAATATCTCTCATCTTTTTCGACTCTCGTTGCATCCAAGAAATGATTTTAAGTAACCTCAAGTTTAGCATTCCTAATTCCAGTTATGTCTCAATGAATGTTTACTATGAGCTCACAAATAAACCGAAATAAATGGCATTTTTTCTACTTTTCCAGCATGTGTAACGAAATACCTTTAATCTGAGCCAGAAAAGCAATAAAATAGGATGAACAAATTTCTATGTATCTTAGAGAAAGCGTACGCAATATTGTAAGGACGCTGCTTAAAAGTTGATATTCTTCTGTTAGGAAATAGGTTACAAAAAATATTTAGAATGTTGATATTTCAATTGATGAAATGTCTTTATTTTAATTAGGACTATAGGAAGGTAATCATCCAAGAGTTTCCTTATGATGTTCTCTTCACGAGAATCTACAAAAGACTAACTCAAAAATTATCCTAAAGTACTTATCCTAACTATATAACTGAAAATATGAAGTGTGGCCCACAGATGTCTACCAGGACTAAAATTTGTTTATTTTCCTGAACAGTTTTTATGGATACTGGGATTTTCCCTGGGATTTTATTATCCTTTACTTAGGTTTGCTTTTTTTCTTTAACTACCAACATCCTTAGACCACTCATCATACTTTCAATAGAATAATTTTTGATGATATTTAACCAATATTTCAACATCTTCTTTGTCTGAATTGCAAACCACATGTCTAATATTTATTCATTTTCAAGTTTTAACCCTTCGTTGGTCGCGTCAAAATTTCTTCCTAGTTTGGTCGCGCCGCGGGGAATCGCCGCAATGTTGAAATTAGTGCAACGTTGCCACATTAGAAAAAAACATTTTGGCGCTTGTTTTAAATTAGTTTATTGGAATTTCCGAATCAATCTGAATAATACTAGTTTAATTTATTGAAGATTTATATTAATAATAGGTAAAAAAAATTTTATTAAATAAATTATTAGTACAACAATTTATATTATTTAGAACGTTTATTAATTATCAGTAGATAAGCAGGGCCGCTTCTGGATCACTCTGCAATACCGTGGCGATAAGTTATCGACACTGATAAATTATCGGCAGCGATTAATTGTGATTTTTTTTACCGACCGCGATAAATTATCTTCAATGATAATACCGATTTTTTACCAACCGCGATTAAAATTTCACTATCAGCAAAAATAACTGATTTTTCGAAGTTTTGTCAATTCATCAATATTCTCTCGAATTTGTGCTACCGACTATAAGGTTTTTCTGGAAATTAATGAATGAAAACAGCAATCTTTTTTGTGTACACAATTTATTTATAGCAAAAAGAAATTTGATATGAATAATATAATCATAATTATATAATATATATATTTCTTACAATATTTTATGTTAGTTTCCTCATTTGCGCACTTAAAGGTTTATACGCTATTATTTGATCTTGTAAGATTAAACAATAGGCTGATGTGTTAGCAGGAAAAGCTCTTGATGATTCAAATTCCAGTCGAACATCAACTGGTCCTGATTTTAAGGATTCATTTTGTTTAGAACAATCAATTACAACGAGTAGTGCTATATCTATAAATTTTTTTTTGTGAGTAGAGGTTCTGCTTCTTTATCATAATATGATGTTTGGGAATCTCTATACATATCATATAATAAGGCAAATTGATTGTGACTTATGTCAAGATTCATGTTGCCATATGGATAGCATTGTGAATTGAGGAAAAGTTTCACATCCCTTAAATCACAATGATCGAAATGACTTGCATCTTTTGTAGCATCATTTTTGCGTGCAGTTTGAACCCCTAATATAACATAGCGTGGCTTTTCCAGTTGAGTTGATGTTTTTACGACCCATACGTGTTTGGTTGTGTTCGGCAGCATTGGATATTCATATAATTCCCATGATCTGAAACTCACTGGAATTGGTGGGTCTTTTGCAATGTAACTTAACAATTCTACTTGTTTTATGTCCGCAACAGTGACATAAGGAATGATCCATTCAATTTTTATAATCGTGATCGTCTTTTCAGGTTCCGCTGCAGCTTGTACAATTGCATTAAGATCGGTATTTGAACGAGTAAGTATTAATTCATGTTTGGCATTGACAATTATACGATGATAATCTTCAGTAAATCCCAATAGCATATGTAACGGTATCGAAACATCAAAGTATCCATTATCATTAAATAATCTTTCATTATCAGTTAACCAACCTGCGTTATCTAAATAATTTTTTTGACCTGGATGAAGAGATAGATATCCCTTCATGAGACTTGTAAGACCAACATTTTTATTTCGATCAATTTCAACAC